ATATGAAAAAAATGTACCAATACTTAACAGTATGCAATAAAATCTCTGCTTAGGGGAAAATTTATATTTGAAAGTGCTTTTCGTGTGTGTGGTACAGGGGACTGAACTCAGGACCTTGAGCTTGCCAGGCAGGCACTTATTCTATTGAGCTATCTCCCTGGACCCCACAAATGCCTATTTTTAACAAAAGCACTCAGAATAAAACTTTAGTTAAGAAGCTAAAAGAGGAATATACTAAACTCAAGGCAAACAAAAGTGAAATTAGAAGACTCAAGAGGAAATAAATGAAATAGAGGACAGAAAATAAATAGAACCAAAAATGCTTTGAAGGGATAGGCAAAATTGGAAAACTTAGATTTAACCAAAAAATGAGAAGTATATCTTAATTTACCAAGTACTTTATAAGGAAAAGGGGGCATTGTAAGAGAATATTATGAACATTTTTAGGCCAACAGCTTATGAAATCAGATGAAATGAAAGTAATTCCTAGAAGCATACTAATTACCAAAACTGACTGAAGAAGAAATATAAAATCTGAGTAGAGAGGTAACAAGATATTAGGTTAGTAATCAAAAACTTCCTACAAAGGAAGGCCCAAAATGAGATAACTTCACTAATGAATCATGCCAAATATTTAAGGAAGAATCAACTCAAATTTTTATAAACTCACCAAACAGGAGGAGGGGCCATTTTTCAGTTGATTCTATAAGGACAGTACTACAATGATAACAAGATAAATACAATAAACCTACATCATAAATTCTTCCATCAATAGGCAAAAATTCTCAAATATCAGCAAAATGTGCTGAATTCACGCACCTATAATATTTAAATGACAATGGAATACCCTTCTCTGACAAAATTAAACAATAAAAGAGGATACAAATGAACAACCAAAAAAAAAAAAAGAGCAACCATTTTGTATCTGTACATTCAAAATAGGATAGATATACAGCTACATTCTCTTAATTCAATGCATAGAAAGATTTGTTCTAATAGTGTTTGTGGACAAGATGTCATATCTGCATCTTGTACTATGAATAAACACTAAGACAACAATATGCAATGTATTAATTATTGAACCTGCCCGACTAATCAGTTTTGAAACTCAACGGCCAGCTATTAGAGACCATTAGAGACCGTTAGAGACCGTTAGAGACTGCGAGACCATTAGAAACCGTTAGAAACCGTTAGAGACAGAAGACCGCGGTGAGCTTCAGGGACTGAATCCTTCAGTCTGTGATGTGCAGACACTCTCAGCACACTTCCTCATCTGATAGTCTGTGCTGGAAGCCAGGAGATAAAGCCCAAGCGGACTGCGAAGACTGAAGTTCATCGGAGGAAGTGGAGTGCTGAATTTTTCCTCGACCCCTTTATTTCCCCTTTTTGTGCAGAGTTACTCTTTGGCGGGGCCCTCACAGCTCAGAGTGTGGAACTGGCATTTTGTCTCATTGTTATTTCCCAATAAAATTATTTTTAAAAATCAGCAAAATGACTCTAGTAATATATGAAAAAGATATATACATGAAAAGTACATAGGTTATCCCAGGAATATAATCTATCAACCTACAAAAATCCATTAAGATGGCTCAGTGGAATAAGCGCTTTCCTGGCAAGTGGAAGGGCCTGAGTTTGATCCCCGGTTCTGCAAAAAACAAAAAAAGAAAATAAAACAAAAATCCACCAAGAGAATGTAAGAGAAAACAACACAACCATCTTATTAAATGAAGTACAGCATTTTATATAAACCAACACCATCTTATGATAAAAAGGTACAAATTAGAAATAAAATGAAAAATCCACAATACAATAAAAAGAAGCTATAAAACTCTACAGTTAACTTTGTATTTAATGGTGAAAGACTAACTGCTTTTCCTATCAAATAACCATGCAAATGTGCTTGCTCTCCATGCCTTTACTGATAAACAAAGCAACTAGGACAGAAAAAGGAATACAGTTATTTAGGTTAGAAAATGAATAGAGCTCTCTATCTTAGAAAATAACATCTTTTTATATCTTCAACATACATCCTAAGGAATTCACAAAAATACTGAAATTAATACTTTTCAATGAAGGTGAAGTATACAAGATCGATTTACAAAAATCAGTTGCATTTGTATACACTAGCACTGAAAACAATGAAATAAAAAATTCACTTTGGGGCTGGCTGGCATGTGGTGCTGAGGGATTGAACCGCGGTCCCTGTGCTTTGCTAAGCTTGTTCTAAGTAGGTGCTTTAGACCACTGAGCCATCTCACCAGCCCAAAGGTGGAGAATTTATGCTGGATATTAGAAAGCATTATTTAAAGAGGAACTACGTGAATAGAAAGTGCTCATGGATTAGAAGACTTAATACTGGTTAAGAACTTGTTTTAGTCAGGGTTTTACTAGGGGAACAGATATAATACAAAACCAGATATCAGATGAGGAAGTGTGCTGAGAGTGTCTGCACACCACAGACTGAAGGATTCAGTCCCAAGGTCTGAAGCTCACCGCGGTCCTCTGTCTCTAACGGTTTCTAACCTGGTCTCTAACGGTCTCTAATGGTCTCTAACGGCTGGCTGTTGGATCTGCAATAGAAGACTGAAGAATCTGGGAAGGAAAGCTGAAGAATCCAATCTGGAGGCTGAAGAGTCTGTTCTGGAAGCCAGGCGATAAAGCCCAAGCTGACTGCGAAGACTAAAGTTCATCGGAGGAAGTGGAATGCTGAATTTTTCCTCAACCCCTTTATTTCCCCTTTTTGTGCTGAGTTACTCTTTGGCGGGGCCCTCACAGACCAGAGTGTGGAACTGGCAGGCAATCCAGCCAAATTGACACAATGTATGGACCATGAGGTAATCTAGCCAAGTTGACACAATATGTCAACCACTACAGTACTTGTGTTCTGAAATTGGACTAACAATTCACTAAAATATGACTCAAAATCCCAGCTTGCTTTTTTGTGCAGAAATTGATAAACTATTTTTAAAATTCATATGAAAACACAAGAGACCCAGGATAGCCAAAATAACTTTAAAAAGAATAAAATTGAAGGAATCATTATTTCTGAGTATAAAGAGTTATTCCAAATCAGGAGATAGATACTGAATATTTGAACATATGAATACAATATTTTTATTTAGTATACACATGAAGAAATAATTATTAGAACTTGCCTTAGATTCCATCACAAATTACTCAAGTCAAACTCTAATGATTCAAATAGTTCCTTCCTATAGTTTCATTTCAGTGAGTGAGGATAGGGGGAAAAGAATGAATAAAGGAAAACATCTATATGGATCCTTTTTCTTCAATAATTATGGCCAAAGGAAATTTACTCACTATACGTGTAATTCATATTTTTCCACCCAAGTAATGATATCAGCAAAAACACTGAGTATTTATTTTCCTTCCAGGTTCTAGGTTGGCTAACAAAAGTTGGTAACTATCTCACTAAGTAACATTTAAAAGTCTAAATAATGACTGAGAACTTCAATATAAATATATATCACCTGTGATATCTATGCACCTAAGGTAAGGTATAGACACGGATCTATGCTCAGTTATGTAAAAAGGTCTTCACTTTTCAAGTCTCACTCACTTGGCATTAATGAGAATGGGCTCTCAAGCCACAGTGTGACAGCTCAAGTCCTGGCTCTGCCATTGCACGTGGCACATGACTACAGGCACATTAGTTAAACTCCCTTTGTCCCAATTTCTTCATAAAATGTGGATAATAAAGGCACAAACCCCATAGAGTTGCCTATGGGAGATAAAATAAGTTAATATATGTAAAATGTTTACAATAATATCCACCACAAAAATAGGTATTAGTATTATTTCAATTTCATTCGCTTTTGGATTGCAAGAGGAACTGGATAAACATGATTCTGAACACTGTTTCCTAGCAGGTTTCTATAAAGAAAAAATATTGTTTGAATTTTGCTCTGAACTGCTTAGCTCTGGCCTAACTAGAATCTAACTGCTATGTTAGGAACATTTTTTTTCTTTTGTTCAGATTTCTTATATGTCCTTTCTCAGTCTAAATTCATATTATATCACCTTTGATATAGCTTAAATGTGAATGAAAATTCTAAGATGGTGTCAATGACAATACTATATCCCTTATGAGAATACAAATAGAATAAAAATAAATTTAATTGAATGCTACTTAGCACATATTCTCATTGCTTAGGATTCTCTATTCCATTTCAGAATGCCTGACTATATTTGACAATTATTTGCTTGTATGGCTAAAAACACAATTATTTCATTGACTTGTTATGTGGCTGATATTTATTCAATGAGTACTATAACGCATGTTTTCAAAAATAATGTTAATAGTTTACCACTAACAGAATCTGATATCATTGGTATACTTCAAAAAGAATTTATTTAACATAAATTGTCAATTAGGTAATTAAATAATTTTTGCATCACCAGAAATTTCCCCCGTTCTTAGAAATACACAGGTATAACTCCTATGATGTAAATTAAGATTTTATATGGATTTATCTATTCTGGTTTATTCAAAGAGGAAATAGAGTTGTTTGTAGTTCCACTAAAATGTGTGTAGGAAGATTAAGATATCCTTTCGCTTCCTACTCGAAATTATTTTAGTAAATGCTCTGTAATTAAATTAAACTGTGGATTAAGCGATCTAAAGGAATGACAAACTTTCTAAAACTTGTATACATTTTTCAAAATGGTTTTAATCTAAAAACTTCCGAGGTATCTTGAATTTGAAAATATTAATATCTCGATCAAGACGCAGGGTGGCGCTGCAGGCTAAGATTGTAAATCCAAAAATGAGCCCAAGGAAGTTCACGCATAATCTTTTGTGTTGGGAGACATAATAAACAACGCATAAGAAGTGTTGCAAACCATTCAGGATTATCAACGCGTAAAGGAAACGAAATACTAAAGAAAAAAAACATTAAAATCATTGTTGTGGCGATTCCCACCAGGAAGAAATTAGAATTTAATGTTTCAAGTCCTCCACCTTCCCCCACGGGAGAAATCGCTGAAAAAATTGGACCAAAAATACCCGAAACTTGAGTATGGAGAAGCTATACGGAATTCATCCAAAGAGGCAAGTGATGTCTTTTATTTTCGTGGTGTTTTTATCTCGGGTATGGCTGGAGCCTATTCATTATTCTGTGTGGGAGGAAACGACGGGTGGAGCCTTCTTAGCCCATTTGACCAAGGAGCTGGGCCTGGGAACCGAGGAACTGGCTGCCAGGTCGGCCCAGGTGGTGTTTGACGACGATAAGCAGCATTTGTTGCTGGATCCTCAGACTGGAGATTTGTTATTGAGGGAGACACTAGACCGGGAAGAGCTTTGTGGGCCTGCTGAACCGTGTGTGCTGTATTTCCAGGTCTTCCTTGAAATGCCAGTGCAATTTTTTCAGGGAGAATTATGGATTCAGGACATTAATGACCACTCCCCAACGTTCCCGGATGGGAAAGTGCTCTTGAAAATACCTGAAAGTAGCCAGCCAGGCACTGTATTTCCCCTGAAATCAGCCCAAGATTTGGATGTGGGCAGCAATGGGATTCAAACATACACAATCAGCCCTAATGATCATTTTCACGTTCTCACTCGAAATAACAGTGAGGGCATGAAATTCCCAGACCTGGTACAGGACAAGCCACTGGATCGGGAGGAGCAGGCTGAGTACAGCTTAATTCTCATGGCTCTGGATGGCGGGTCTCCACCGAGGTCTGGCACTGTCATGGTTCAAATCCTGATCCTGGATGTCAATGACAATGCTCCTGAGTTTGTGGACACCCCATATGAGGTTCAGGTCCAGGAGAACAGCCCCTTAAATTCCCTCATCCTGACTGTCTCAGCTAGAGACAAGGATGCTGGACATTTTGGAAGTGTTTCCTATGGCTTGTTCCAGCCATCAGATGAAATTAAACGAACTTTCTCAATACATGAAGTCACGGGAGAAATTCGACTGCAAAAGAAACTGGATTATGAAAAAATTAAGTCTTACCGTGTGGAAATTGAGGCCACAGATGGAGGAGGCCTTTCTGGGAAAGGAACAGTAGTGATAGAGGTGGTGGACGTGAATGACAATGCCCCTGAACTGACCATAACTTCACTCACCACCTCCATCCCAGAAAATGCTTCTGTGACTGTGGTCTCTATCTTCAAAATTCGAGATAAAGATTCTGGAGACAATGGGAAGATGATTTGCTCTATTCCAGATAATCTTCCATTCATTCTAAAACAAACCTTCAAGAACTTTTACACGCTAAAAACCGAGAACCCTCTGGATAGAGAGACCACAGCCGAGTACAACATCACCATCACTGTCACCGACTTGGGGACACCCAGGCTCAAAACCCAGCACACCATAACAGTGCAGGTCTC